CTCTCCATCAGGTGGGCCGTCAGCTTGTTTGCCATACTAATAGCATAAAAAAACCATTACCCTCCTTATACATGGTCGGGTAAATTCCAACTGAGAGTCCAACCGCGTCGACTCACCACTCACCTGTGTATGCAAATTATGCTCAGCGTTATCGCAAAGTTTTTCTAGAATCTTCCGTCTTGGAATTCTCTTAAGAGCCGTATAAGTACCTAGTATAAACGTTGAAGGAACTCCTCGCCAGCTCTAGAGGCACTTTACTCAACTGCTGTCTACAAGTGAGGTACAGTTTTATAGTGTGTTGAGGCGACACGACTGGAACCGTGTAATTGAAAAACGATAGTATTTTTTACAACACACGGGGTAGACGAGCATGCGGCTCACCTGATGGTAAGTGACTACCGCCGCCCATGATCACCCACAACACCAGCGGCATTGCTTTTTTTTCCAACTTACCAAACAAGCTGACGGCCCACCTGATGGAAGGTGGTAACCGTCGCCTATAGACATGAGCAGTACCATGTACATAACAGAGTATACTGTTTTGCCCATGATACCCCCCATGCGTTGCCATTCCTGTGGACTCAGGTGTTATTCCTCTGTACCCAGTAAATTCACTGCCATATCCCACCCTTCAAACCAAAACACAGCCATGCAAACACTACTTCACGGTAGAAACACGAATGGGACAGAGGTGTCCAAGCAATTTTTGTCAGCTAATTTGACAATTAGCTGACAAAAAGTTGACCCGTTTTTGAGACTCGATGCTTTATCTATATAATCTAAGATATGCATGTATAAAGTAAGTCTTATGAGAGTTTACCATCATCAGCCTTTAACTGTCCACTGCTGGACATAAGCCTTCCCCATAAGGGAGTTTTTGCTAGTAGTTCCCACACTTTGTAGGTGGATTGGAAACTGCAGTTAGGCTTTGGAGATGTTTTAACAGGGACGCTGCTGCCCATTCCTCGCCCTCCCTTAGCCTCTTCTTACGACACCCACGGGAAAGGAAGGGATGGCCTATTCTATACTGGGACTCACACGACCGTGTCAGTTATTGAACCTATTGAGAAAATAAGATAAGAATATATTTGATTATCTTGTGAAGTTATCAGATACAGCGCCATCTGTTATATGTAATTAAAGATTGCGTCCCAAAAAAGTCGAATTCGCTTCTCATTAAAATTAACTGTATTTATTATTTTTATATAAATGACGTAATAAAGTGTAAATTTGTAAAGTGTGAATTTACTGGGTACAGAGGAATAACACCTGAGTCCTCAGGAATGGCAACGCATGGGGGGTATCATGGGCGAAACAGTATACTCTGTTACGTCCATGGTACTGCTCATGTCTGTAGGCGACAGTTACCACTTTCCATCAGGTGGGCCGTCAGCTTGTTTGCCATTCTAAGTTGTATAAAAAGTGGATAAATAACTGACTTTGCAACTAAAGTTTTTATTTTTTTTATTTTTGGAAAAGATTAATCTAGGGATTAATCTATAATCTAGCATTTGGCGTTCCATTGTTTCTGCCTACCCTAATGGGAGACAGGCGTGACAGATATGTATGTATGTATGTATTAATGTAAATCTCTTAATATCTTTTATATTATTGGTATATTTTTAGTTTTACATTCCTCTTTCATACTGTATAACGTAATATAAATTATTATTAGAAACCATAGACAAATTATTCAAGAGATTCATAGAGTAGAAATGTTATTCATAGAATACGTAATCTCTGAGTTTAATAATGGCCGCCGTTGTAACTTTGAGTACCACTGTACCCCAGCGGTGTAGCGCGACGAGGTAGCAGGGTCAATCCCGTTTGTTTTAATACTTATAAAAAAAATTTATACCACGAGAGTGGCAATCAAGCATACAGCCCGTCTGATGGTAAACGGTCACTGTAGCCTATGGACGCCTGCAACACTAGAGGTGTACCAGAGGGAGACTTTGTACAAAAGTCGATTGCTTGACTACCTCTGTCTCATTCGTATTTCAACCGTGAAGCAGTTGTGTTTGCATGGCTGTGTTTCGGTTTGAAAAGTGGGATATGGCGTGAATTTACTGGGTACAGAGGAATAACACCTAAGTCCTCAGGAATGGCAACGCGTGGGGGGTATCATGGGCGAAGCAGTATAGTCTGTTATGTGCATGGTACTGCTCATGTCTATAGGCGACGGTTACCACTTTCCATCAGGTGGGCAGTCAGGCAACCGTAGTTAGGGTTTGGAGATGTTTTAAGAGGGACGCTCCTGCTCATCCCTCGCTCTCTCTTAGTCGCTGCTTACGACACCCACGGGAAAAGAAGGTATTAGGTATATACCTCAATGAATACCATGGGCGTCACAGTATATAATAATAATCTGGAAAGTGCATAAAAACTGACAGTCCATCTGGGAGGAAAACAGTCGCCTACAGACATGAACAGCACCGTCAATTTCACACAATACACTGTGACGCCCATTTTGCATCTTATACGTTGCGATTGCTACCATCTGGTCCCGGCATAGAATTGGCCATCTTTTCCTTTCCCGTGGGTAAACATAATAAGTTCATGTGTTCAAACATGACCACAATAAATTCATTTATTACAGTTTACGTTATGGTCGAATTTCGACCACGGAGCGACCACTAATAAATATTTATTTTCCAACAATATCGGTATAATATATTTATATAAACACTCAGGTTATGGAGTGAGCTCCCTGTCGAGGTTTTCCCAAGAGATTACAGCGTGGGGTTCTTCAAAAGAGGGGTAAAGAGGTTTCTTCAGGGTCGGCAACGCGCGCGTAATACCCATGGTATTGCAGACGTTCATAGGCTACGGTAACTGTTTATCATCAGGTGGGTCGTATGCTTGTTTGCTACCTCACTGGTATAAAAAATGATTCAATTTAATTAACTTCAATGCACTTTAATTAATAATGTAAATTAATTTAATGTCATTTAATTCAATCTAGTATTGTTTAATCCGTAGATATCAATAAATATGCAGAAACTGTCGGCCATATCTGTCAAAAACAGGACAGACGATTAAATTATGTTTTGGTGCAATCAGCATTAGACAGTGGCGCTCAAAGTTTTGTACGCGTCGCGGTCACGGGGGTCATTTTGAGTAATCGCTAAAAAAAAACAATTGAGATTTTTGTGTCTATGGGATTTGCTGCACTGTTATAACTATTAGTTTTGTATTTTTTTTTTTTAAATATTTATTCTAATGCTGTATTTGGGAATGCTTAATTATTAGTTGGTTGAAAAAATACCATTCGACGAATAAGTTTGATGGGATTCTGTATTCTATTCTATTCTATTCTATTCTAGTTGGTTGAAAAAATACCATTCGACGAATAAGTTTGATGGGATTCGAAGTATGTATGTAAAAGAAGTATCTATGTTCTTTTTTTTTTATACAACTCAGAATGGCAAACAAGCTGACGGCCCACCTGATGGAAAGTGGTAACCGTCGCCTATACACATGAGCAGTACCATGGACATAACAATACACACACATACTGTTTCGCCCACGATACCCCCCATGCGTTGCCATTCCTGAGGACTCAGGTGTTATTCCTCTGTACCCTGTAAATTCACGCCATGTCCCACCCTTCAAACCGAAACATAGCCATGCAAACACAACTGCTTCACGGTAGAAACACGAATGGGACAGAGGTACCCGAGCAATCGACTTTTGTACAAAGTCTCCCTCTGTTCCTTTATATTTTTATTTATTTATTTATTTCATTATTGCAATCGTTTGTGATATCACGCATCGAATATCAGCGATGTAGTATTTAATTCGTTGCAGCACACGCTAAGTGGCGGCCATATTAGAAATAACAAATGCGAAGTTTGTTTTCTATTGTTAATTAATATCTCTTTTATTGTTGGCAATAACTTATTTATTTATTCCTTAGTACATATATGTGTACATGGCGGACTTAATGCTAGAAGCATTCTCTCCCAGTCAACCGTAGGGAAGTGTCAGAATACACGAATGCGGTACTACTAATTATTGATATACATACATACTAAAATTACATATATAAACGAATAAATATATATATAAATAACACACACACATATATATAAAATTTATTAATTATTAATTAATTAATGCTCCTCTCCACTCAGGGTTTGCTGGTAGAGAACTCTTGCAGAGTTAAGCTCGCATGTTGTACATCTTTATTTTATATAAACTATATGAATATAATATTTTTTATGTATAATATAGTATAAATAAATAAAATCCGTTATAAGCTGTATTTATAAGAGATTTAACAGTAAATAATTTAGTAAGAGAATTTTCGTATTTAATAAAAATAAAAGTACTCTGACTAGAGTTGATAAAAAAAAATCATTTGATAAATTGGCCCGATCACGAATCCAACTTGAGGCCTCATTTATGCAAAGCACTGCGCTATGGTGATAGGCTATTTTTAACCGACTTCAAAAAAAGGTTGACTGACAATTCGGTTGTATTTTTTACATTTGTTGCCTCATAACTCCATTAATTGTAAATCAATTTGGAATTGTTTTTTTTTTTTTATCTGAAAGGATATACTTACAGATTGATTCCATAACAATTTTATCAAAATAAGTTCAATAGTTTAGTATATAAATCAAAAAAACTAGTTTTGTCACATTTAAAGTCTATTTCTTTTTTATGGGACATAATCTTTTTATTATTGTAAGTATATACTTTTAGATAAAAAAAGAGCTTTCCAAATCGGTTTAGAACTGACGGAGTTAAACATTAACAGACATGAGAAAATAAAGAAATAAAAAAAAAATGTGGACCTACTTCTGTCTCTAAAGTCGGTTGAGAAACAAAGTTTTACAGAGATATCCTAATAAAGTAATGGAAAACAATAAAGGTAAACAGTTATTACTTACATAGTATTTTATATAGATAAACATACATACGAATATGACAAAACATGTCTCTCGTATTGATCATATAAAAAAGCAACCAACAAGTAATTAAATTTGCCAACTGTTTGAGAAGCTTAGAGCTTTTGCGAAGCCAAAATTCGTTGCCGCTAACGACTGAAAACGTGCGCGAGCGAGACGCGACACCAATAAGTGTGAAAGAGACGTACGTAAACTGTAAGCTACGCCTAATCAATGCATACAACCTTCGCCTGAAGCCTGCAGAGGCTTCAGTGTGTCGCGTACACTTCAGTTGGAGGGTGTGTGTGTTTCCGCCCTGTTAATATTAAATTAAAAAAAAAAAAACATAAAATAACTATTTTAAATTGAAAACCGCTTCGAAATTCGAAAACAAACGTTGGAATAACTCATTGCAAAACAAATACTGAAGGGAGCGTTCGAAAATCGAATGCTCACCAGCGGCGTCCTAACAAAAGACCGCGCAGAATTGTGGCCTTTTAATTTGCGAAAAAAAACATTAAGCCGTATCACTGATACGCGATTTGAAATTCGAACGCGGAATTTATGAAACGTGTGTTTACTTTTTTTTTTTAATCAATTTTACTGGCCAGTGTTTTTGGGGCACAGTCTTTATATTGTGTTCCTTTGCTAGCGTTTTGCTATTTAACACTTTTTAGTCAGTGGAAGAGCGGGGGAGGGGGAGGGGGTAAAACGCAAGGATCCTTTGTTCCTCACTGCACTGTGCTTGTATCGTGGAGAGGGGTGCAGCATGGCAAAAGGTAGTAAATCTATTTTCCTACAACTGTTTTCAGCCATTTTGGATTTTGCAGTGTTTATGTCCGTGTGCATTGCATTTATTATGGATTAACGTTGGAAACAGCGATTTGTGAATATTGCAAGTGAATTAAATGTGTTTAATTAAAAATTTTATACACAATAAATAAATTATCATCCATTCTAAATAATATTACGTACTATATATGTAATATTTTATTATATATTTTAATATTTTATTTAACTGTATATTTGTTTATGTATTAATAGTTGTAGCACTTCAGCTGCCCGCTAACGAAATGCTTTCTTACTGTACTGGGTTGACTGGAAGAGATCTCTAAGTCCACTGTCACAACATTTATAAATACATTATTTTATATGTAACTTACAAGTGCAATAAAGAATATATATATATATATATATATATATATATATATATATATTATATATATTTCATATGTATCTATAATAAGTTTACTATTGTAATCTTACGGAGGAAACGATATAGAGTATCTATTTATTTATCATATAAAATAGATAACTTTACATATATCTCGTATCTGTATTTGCTGTGTACTATAATGAGGGTAGTGTTGAAATAAATTAACTTCAAATGTTTTTGCAACTTTTTAAATTGTTTATGTCAACGATTTTATATCAGCTTCAAATAATCCTCTAACAGAAATAGATTTTAAACAATTTTTATTAATGTAAACTTAAATTGTATATATTATTAAATAGTTTTTTTTTTTTTTATATTTTACCGTCCGTACACAATTACGAGATGATTTTAGCAAGCCCCGTTTTATCGAAATCGGTTAAGCTGTTTAGGGCACAAGTATAACGTGTCTTATAAATGCATTTTATTTATTTATTATTACAAAATCCACAGCTCTTAAAATCTGTAATATTTTAAAGTTATTTTTATTATATACAGCCAATTACAGATTTATAATTTATAAAATATTGCTCATTAAGAAGGAAGCGTTAACAAAGTTGATATTATGTATGTATGTGTGTGCGAATGTGTGCGTGTGTGCATGTGCGTGTGTGTGTGTGTGTGTGTGGAATTGCGTGTTTGTGTGTACGTGTGTGTGTGTATGTGTGTGTGCGCGTGTGTGTATACTGGAGTATGTGTTTAACTCATATTAGTTACCAGTAACATGTCTGGATCGTATTCTATGGGTGACATTTATCAATATAAAGATTGGATTGTTTATTTGTAATGAATAAATTGAAAAAATACTCATCCGATGTTAAAAATTTCTTCATCTATAGAAAGCTACATAATCAACGAATAATATAAGCTATATATTGTTTATAAAAATTGTTAAAAATTCTGTACATGGGAGATATTTAAGAGATTGTTTTCCACAAAAAAATAAAACCGACTTCAATTGTGACAACACCAGTTGTTTCGATTTAAATTAAAAATTAAACTATTTAAGTGATCTTGATAAAATTTCTACAGGCTGAATCTGTGAATACAGACTTTCAGATAAAAAACGAATGTTCCAAATCGGTTTACAACTAACGAAGTTATGAGGTAGTAAACATTAAAAACAATACATCCGTACTGAGATCCTTCTTGTTGCAGGCGGTTAAAAATTAATATCATCATCGACCTCTCAGCCTTTATCCGTCCACTGCTGGACATAGTCCTCCTCCATAGACTGCCATAAAGAACGGTCCTGAGCCACCTGCATCCACTGGCTACCTGCAATGCATTTGAGATCGTCGCTCCGTCTATAACTCATCCCAAACTAAAATTTCATCCCAACCATCTGGACGAGTGGCGGTCCTCAAACGTGCATTTTTCAAGGCACTTTCTTCCACGCACAACCACTCTTTAGAATCAACTTCCAGCAGCAGTATTTCCGAACCGATACGACGACATAACCTTCAAGAAAAGAGCATATTCCTTTTTTAAAATGCCGGCAGCACACCTGCAATGCCTTTAGTGCTGTGGGTGATCATGGGCGGCGGTAGTCACTTACCATCAGGTGAGCAGTAAACTCGTTTGCGCCGTGTTAGAAAAAAATATCTAATGGTAGGCCGTGCTACTCCGCGTTTGCCCTCAAGAACCTTTCTTCCCCATCCAGCCCATTGTTACTACACCTCGCTTATCGTATTAGAAAATATAAATAAGGAAAGAAAATACACAACAAACATGTCCCACATCACTTCCATCCGAACAAATATACAAATCTCGAGATGTTCCAGAAAAAAAAAACAACGCCTTAGCCAAGTACACTTGTCTTAACTTCTATAGAGAATCCGCGAAGTTTTCATAAAAACAACAAACTTGCTACATTCAATTGTCTATGATATTCAGATATAAAAGGTCAACTGTACAAATGTAGTGAGATTACATCATATTTTTATCGATATAGATAGATAGATACTCTTTATTGTTTCCTCCAAAAGATTACAATAATAAACTTATTATAGATACAAACAATTACAAGAAATGATCACAGTGAGGAAACAATGGACGACCTTATCGCTAAGAGCGATCTCTTTCAGGCAACCTTTGGTTGGAGTCATATTGCTCCATAGTTTTCTCCTGTCACCTTCCAATGATCGCCTCTGTTCCAATGATTTCTACACCATGTCAAACCGTCGTCATTTTAGCCATTATTCGTCTACTGCTGGACACAGGCCTCCACCATAGATTAGAGAATGAAACCGTCCTGAGCCACTAGTGGGGAGATCGTCCACTGTGTTTGCCCGTACGGGGTCACAACTCAAGAATCTTTCTTCCCCATTGATTGTAGGTTCTTCGAGCTATGTGGCCATCTTATTACTTCTATGGAGAGGAGTATAAAACTAGTATTTACCTGCAATTTCGTCTGCTCGCTGACAGGAGTATAAAGTAGCCAATATAAAGACATAAACTCCCTTTTATATTACATTATATGTTTAAAAACGAGATAAAAAGTCAGTAGCAAATGTGAGAACGATTCATGGCTTAACACAGATATAAATTTGATTATGTATTGACTGTAATTCAGCTGTATGTTTAAAAAAAAAAATATCGACACTATGTATTTATTTTTTTTTTAGTTCGTTGTATGAGATTTTTATATAATTTTATATATTTTTTTTTCTTTAATAAAGCATCAGAAGTCGTTTGTTTGGGCATCTCTGTCCTATTCGTGTTTCAACCGTGAAGCAGTTGTGTTTGCATGGCTGTGTTTCAATTTGAAGGGTGGGATATGGCAGTGAAAAGTGAAGTTACAGGGTAGAGAGGAATAACACCTGAGTCCTCAGGAAAGGCAACGCGTGGGAGGTATTATGGGCGAAACAGTATACTCTGTTATGTCCACGGTACTGCTCATGTCTATAGGCGACGGTTACCACTTTTCATTGGGTGCGTCGTCAGCTTGTTTGCCATTCTAAGTAGAATAAAAAAAGTTATAGTTTTTTGTAAATTATGTTTTTTTTTTCTGTAATAATTAATTTTCTATTTTTTCTTAATAGTTATATCTAGGTGTTAGTACATACATACATACATATCTGTCACGCCTGTCTCCCATTAGGCTAGGCAGAAACAATGGAACGCCAAATGCTTCGATTCAAACAAACCTCTTTCGCTTCCTCCACATACATCAATCTTTTCATACACGCTCGCCGGTTACGGGTACTTTTAATTTGGCCCTTCTTGTTAGTCTCAAATAATATATTGCGGATGGCTTTGTTAACATCTGAACTTTATTATGGACAGTGTTGCTATAGTTTCAAATAGTTTTATTTTAACTATTTCCTCCACTTGTATTATACATTTGTGCAAACTTTAGTGGCTGTGAAATTATTATTTAAGTGTTTAATTATGTATTATTCTAGTTTTTTTTTGATGGGTGAAAATGGTATGGTAACCCCGCCTGCGCTACCGGGATACGCTGGCGGAGCACCAGTGAAGGGTGATAGATGAGAATGAAAACAGGCCAGTTAGCCCATCATGATGAATTCATCAGGAATTAACCATGATAATTTCCAGGGGGGACCGCGAGGAGGTCAACCTGGTTGGGTATATTGCTAGCAATGGGATTTTCAATCTCCATTACTAACAATCCCTTTCCCCCCTAATGTATTGTTCTAGTTGTCTGTTTACCTTTAATATATAAATAAATACATAGATAGAGTGTCTCCATACAAATGCTTCGAGAAAATTTTTGCGTGTCAATTTTTTCATACAATTTTGCGTGATGAATGTGTGATTCCTTTATAACTTATATATATTTACACACACAATGTACCTTGACGAGTCTATATTTAATTATTAAATAAGTAAAAAGACTTTTTTTTCTATATAATATAAATAAAGAAAAAACGAACCGGTTGTTGGCGGGAGGGGACAAAAAAACGTTAATCGAGTCGGCTAGTTTTAATATTTTTAAAATAAACTTTCACGACCGGTTGAAGAAGAAGTGCGCGCAAAAACAACTGTATTATTTTTTTAAATAGCAAATTTGGGCTAAGGAATATTACTCAGACGGCCCACTACTTTGTTGTTTTTCTTTTCTTTCCCATTAATTTTGCGCTGTTGACTTTCGTTAAATTGCAAATTTATCTAACCAATTTGAAAGAAAGAGAAAGAGAGAGTAATAAATAAATAACTT